AAGGAAGGCAGCTAGTCATCACCACACACCGCCAACTCGTGGGCTACTCTTTTACCAACGAATAGTGGGATTGACCGTCACATTATAATGCTCCCACGGCTGAAAGGGCGAGCATGTTTGGTGTGACGGGGATTCGAACCCGCGACCCTCAGATTGCGAGTCGAGCGCCGTAACCACCAGGCCATGCCGGGCCTTAACCATTGCACATGAGGCCTATCACGAAGTAGTGCATCTAATTTAAAATAAAAAACTGGGAATTCAAAAACCTGCAAATAAGAATCGTAAAATAAAAGTAAACAAACAAAGCTATAGATGCTGTATACATTATTAACTCAAACTACAAACCCCTATTTTGGCTCCTTGTTGTTACCTAGAATTACATTTGGTGGAGTCAAAATAGGGATTTGTAGTTTCAGTAAATAAGGTCTACAGTATCTCCAGCCTTGTTTGTTCACTTTTTTTTCAGCTCCCCAGTGGCGCAGTGGCATGTCTGCGGAATTACAACGCTAGAAACCGGGTTTCGATACCCGTAGTGAGCAGAGCACAAATAGCTCAGTGTGTAGCTTTGTGCTTAAATTTACCCCAGACAAAATATAAATGGTTACAAACATTTATGATAACTTTGACTCCGGACTTCTTTTTCAGCTGCAAGTTATATAACTTTGGACGATATTAAAATTGTTGATATAACACCGACGGTGAAACGAAGAATACTGTTTTCGGCAATAATGACTAAATACAAAATATGTGCTAACCTTAACAATTACCAGACACCCTGTAACTGAGTGACAAATAATTGTTGTGGGTTCACTTGATATTTGTTACACGCTTGCCCAACATTCTGTAACTAGGAACCGAACAATTGTTGCAGGCTTATCAATAGTTTTGTAACTAAAAAACGAACAATTGTTGTGGGTTCATTCGACCTTCTGTCGCTAAGAAACAAGTAAGTATTGCACGTTTGTCCAACATTCGGAAACTAGGAAACGAGTAATTGTTGTAAGTTTATCCAATGTTTTGTTACTAAGTAACGAACAGTTGTCGCAAGTTTATCCAGCATTTTGTAACTAACAAACCTTTGATTGTTTCAAACTTACAGGCCACTGCAAAAATAAAGGTCTTTTGAAAAGTTCCTTTTGTAAAAGTATAAAAATAAAAACAAATATCTATAACCATCATTAGATTTTCCATGAAAAAACCCATTAGTTTGTGTGTGATGACAGAAGTATCGCTATAAACGAACGATATTTACACATATCATAATGGTGCTTACTAAACTATATTTACACATTCATAAAGGTGCTATCGCAAAATATATTTATATATTAATAAAGGTGCTATACTAAACTATATTTACACATTCATAAAGGTGCTATCGCAAAATATATTTATATATTAATAAAGGTGCTATACTAAACAATATTTACACATTCATAAAGGTGCTATCGCAAAATATATTTATAAATTAATAAAGGTGCTTACTAAACTATATTTACACATTCATAAAGGTGCTATCGCAAAATATATTTATAAATTAATAAAGGTGCTATACTAAACAATATTTACACATTCATAAAGGTGCTTTACTAAATGATATTTACACATTTTATAAAGCGCTATAAACGATATTTGTGAGTTTAGTGGTTATAAAACGTGAACGGTGTGAAAGTACGTTGATATGACAACAATACATATGAAACAACAAACCAACGCGTTAAGTGTTTCAGCAGAATTTAACCTTGCATTGAAATTAGCTGAAAAGATTGATATGTGTGTACATTTCATATGAATCGTTCTTAAAACTTAACTACTTCGTTAGAGACAAAGGTCGTAACGTTTCGAAAAATGAATGCCTTCGATGATCTCCACAGAAGCTTGGAAATCAATCCGCAAAGTGAAAGCCTAGTTACGAAAGAGAACCCTTCAACCCCTCGACCTTTTCCTACCCCCAAAAAATACATTGTTATATAGCTGAACATATCTTCTAGCAGCTTTTTTAATGGGAAACGTGAATAAATAAATTGAAATCGTCACAGCAATCTCATTCGTTTACTTACATTTCAACTCTTCCAATACAGCTCTGTTGGATGTATATTCTTTTAGTATACTTATAAATGAGGAAGCCGACGTACACACAAAGTGGACGGTATGAACGTTTGTCAAGACGTCTGGCCTAACTTAATGTAGAAACTTGATACAATAGGAAATGCGTTATCGGGAATAATACGGAATCATGACAATCAAACTGAGTACGATCAACAGAAAGAAAATAATTCCAAGGCCAGCATAAGACACGGAACATTACGTATACATAATCCATTAATGTCAGTCGCGCTTAATAATATAATATAGTTTGGTATTTTATTTAAAAACGCAATACTGAATAAACTTATTACAATACAGCAGTTATTTCTTTGCAGAAAACCCATTGTAAATCACAGATCCAAATTTTTGTTCCATAACAACACTGTATTAAAGTTTCATTGATCTGTTAATTTTCAATACACCACTGACAAAAAACAGTAATTTTTTTTCTACTATTATTACTTTTAGGAACAGAATATTCGGCACAACAGAGTCTTGAACAATGCTCTGTCTAAGCTCTATAAATTGTTAAATCAAAGAACCAGTAGTCCTAGCAAGTTTTCAAGATTTATAGATTCATCCAATGAAGGAACTATTTTTCAGTCTTTGGATCCCCTAAGTGGAGGAATCGTCGTTAAAAGGTCACTAAACAGTGTAAATGAAGATCGCTCTGGCAGATCCTTATATACTTTAATTGGAGGGACTGCTGTAAGACCATCAGGATCTCTAAGAGATGGCTTTGTTGTAAGACCCATGGATACGTTAAATCGAGACATCGTCGTTAGGTCACTGGATCCTCTAAAACGTGATATTATCCCCAGATTCGTGGATTCCTCAATCGAAAGTACTGTTAATAGATTTTTGAGTCCAGAAAAAGTCATGGTCAAATCACATGTGAAATCAACAACGTCTTCAAATTTCAAAATACATCCATCAGGACCGGGGGAAAATATAACATCTCCATGGAAGATTGTCTCGAACTCCTCCAGTGAAGACATTTTCTAAAAAATAAAGGTAACTGTTGTCTTTTTCTGATATTTTTCCCGATGTTCCTCTTACACAAATTGGTACCTCAAAATAACATAGATTATAGATTTCAATAAAAATAGCATAAAAAGTTATAATGTGAATTGCCTGAATCTATAAGTGATGTGTATTGTTTGTTTTGAGTTTCGCGCAAAGCTACACGAGGGCTATCTACGCTA